GCAAACCGATCGAGGAAGAAACCAGTGAAGCTTTTGACCATAAAAGGACTAAAAAATCATGGAGGCGTGCAACAGAAAAACAGAATTATGAAGTTCATTTATACATGTATATATTACTCCATTCTATTTATATATTATTCTATTTATTTCATTTTATACCACACACTTTCAATCTTTATTATTTTAAAAAATAACATAATCATGATATATTTTAGAGCAACAGTTTAAAATACTTCCGAATATTTTAAAAGTAATTTTTTTCTTAAATTTTATATTCATTAAATACCGTCATTAAAACAAAAAGAGTAGTAATAAAAAGTGTTTGAAAATAGAAAAAAGAGTGAAATAGTATAACCCTATCACAGTCACTGAACTCAATGGTGTCCTTGTCACCTAAAATAGTACTCCTAGCTATAACAGTAAACTATTTTCTCAAAACTTTTAAACTAAAATTGTACGGTGTACCTTGTTCATTAATTAATTAATTAATCAACCACTAAGCACAAACTGACAAAACTAAAATATAACAGATTGTTATTATACTCAAGAAAAACTCAATTCACTGCTCTTATGAAACTTACCGACGGTAAATGATGGAGATTTTACCACGGTTGCGCAGATTGCCGCTATTTCCTTTAACAGCCATGCGACCAAAGGCCGAGCCACTAAGGTCGAAATGAACTCGGCCTTTGGTCAATGCTGGAGATTCATCTGTAATAATAACTGTCGCGGCTCTTTTACTGCAAATGGATTTGTCCAAGCATTTTACCTTGTAACACGCACCACAACCTTCGCCATTTTTGAATAAAATCGAACTCACGGCCCCTACTCTTGCCCTGAATGGCTTCACGTCCACCATAGACCCGTACCCACATGCCCCACCTACACCAAAATTCCATCACTTACTAGTAAATAATTAGTTAGGATCTTGAACCATCTCACTATAACAACTAGGTATTAAGTTGTCTCAATTTCAAACTAATTGGGTCGATATTTAAATCTTCGATATCTATCTTAGCTAGCGTTTGGCCATAGAGTCCCAAATTTGTTTTAAAAAATCTTATTTGGATGAAGTTTGGTTTGAAGATGAAAATATGTTTGGACAAGATTTTTCAAAACATATTTCACTTTTTAGTTGAAAAAATATGAAACATGACTTATACCCCACAAGTTCTAAAAACTATCACAAATACCCAATAGTACCATTATCCCAAACCATAGTCCTGAACATAAATAAGTTTGGTATAAAATTATCATTTTTATAATGAACTATATAAATCATTAATTACAATGAAATCCCATTAGAGAATTACGGCTCCTAATTAAAAAGAAAAAGTTAATTGATATGAGTATTCAGAAAGCCATTTAGCCTACAAATCAGAAGCAAAAGTAAGATGCACAAAGGATTAAGCTGATAAGGGAGCATATTCATCAAATATTTAGTTGGTCGTAATAAATGTGGGCTCTTTTACAAACTATAAAAGTTTAGGGTAATATTTAAAAATTTTTAAAAATGTAGTGGTCATGTTTTGGCCCAAAATCACCAATTGATTTGGGATTTGAGATTTTGCCAAATCTCAAATGTGAACAAAATCTATGGCCAAACATGTGTTTGCCAAATAAATCCCAAATTTATTTTGGCAAAACTCATGGCCAAACGGGTCCTTATTCAGTTGTTGGCCCGTTTCTATAGTTGTAATGCATGTCTAGGTAATAAATGAATTCAGAATCTAAACTTGATTTCACCATTTTATAAGTTCTTGTCGGTGAACTACATTGCACTCTTGAGTTCAAAATTAATTACTCCACTATTTATTAAAAGTTTAGTAAATTTTACACATATATAATTTATACATTTCCTCTACGTCTGTAAAAGCATGTCATAATGTAATTATTAATACTTACTCTGTTCCACTTTATGTGAACCTATTTCCTTTTTAATCCGTTCCAAAAAGAATGACCCTTCTAAATTTGATAACAATTTAACTTAAACTTATAATTGTACCTTTAATGAGAAGCTTATATAATCACACAAATATTCTAGCCCTTTTTTGACTTGTTTAGGACCATAAATTTTTTAAAAAAAGTATTTATTTTTTTTTAAATTTCGTGCGTAGCGAAATATGTTCACATAAATTAAAACTAAACAGAAGTGAATGCGAACATGATTAGGACTAGAAAATTTACCGGTACTACCATCACCGTTGGGACTGCCGTACCAAGTGGCTGAGGCAGTGTGCCAATGTGGGTCTTTAACACGTTGTAGACTGCCGGCAGAAGCAATGTCGACGGCGAAAAAAACCACAACCACAACCACGACACAACCAAAACGGGCGAAATGACATCTTGGGCAATTACTAGATTCCATAATGTAAATTAAGGACAAAGCTAGAATTTGTAACTTACTAGTTCAGGCTTCTAGCTTGAACTCTCTATTGCCTATAATCCTCAGTTTCTCGGCCTGCGGAGACACCGAGAGAAAGGAAGAAGGGAAGAGGGTGTACTATGTTTACCGACAATATTTTCTTAGACTTAGTCCTAATTTTATAAGGTAAGAAATTAAAGAATAAAGGGTTAATGGGACTTTTTAAGTCCATGTGACCCTATTGATATTAATTTATTCACGATAGTGCCACTACTTTATAGAGGGGGCCAGCGACAGTTAAGGCGTTAAAACAGTAAAATAGTAGTCGTTCTTTCCGTTTAGCATTATTAAATTATATTATATAGTACTAACTGTCAGTGCTTAGGGGCATACTGGTCATTCGAAACGAATGGAGTATTCTACCGTTATTCGTGTTCTTCTTTTTCAAATACCGTTATTCTTGTTCGTTTTAGTTTTTACTTCGTCTAATATTTGTTTTGAAGCCCAACTAATTCAAATTCATGTCCAAAAGTTCGTCTTTGGAGATAAAGAGCACTCTACCGAAGAGTATTTCATCCAAAAAAAAATATTATTTTGTGCGTCATACAACTGACACTAGTTATATGTGTTGAGGTTTTATTTTTTAAGATGAAATAGTCTTAAAATAAGGGTGAATGGGAAATGGAGGGAAAATGAAATTTTTGAGTAAAATTTTAAGTTTTCCCCTCTTGACAATGAGACATTGTCCCATATTGGAAGAGGAAAAGATTTTTGGTGGGTATATATATAATTGCTCTTCTTGTAGCTCTTAAAGAGTTAAGAAGAAAGCAAGTCTCGCGCCGTCGTCGTCGTCGTTCGCTCGACTCGGCTTCGGCTACGGCTACGGCTACGGCTTGGATTTGGATTTGGATTTGGGGATTTGGATTTGGTCAAGTGATCGATTGATTGATTAATTTTTTGGACCAAATTTTTTTGTTAATAGTAAATATTAACGTAAGATTATCCGCATTTGTAACGGATATTTTTCAATCCGTGTATTGACCATTTGGCAGCCGCCTAATGCTCTTCCCACCATGAATGTGCTTGCTCCACAAACAAGCTAATGCTTGCTCCATCATGGAGGGTGGACGATTGGTCTTCTTCAACACTGGCTGCTATATATATATGTGCAGCAACTGTTGAAGAAAGACACACACAATACACAAGACCAATAAACTGAAAATCGCTCAACAGATTTGGCTATACATTGCACTCCTTCCTCTCAGCATTT